GCTGAGAGTCAGAATCGACTCGAAAACCCAGTGGCTCAAACCTAGTGTTCCATGCAGGGCAGGGCAGTGTTTCATTCTGTTGCACGGAAGGTTCCAGAGGTCCAGAGACCACTTGTCAGAACTAGCAGCAACTGTAAATTCATGATCTCCTTCTGCACAAAGCCTCTCTGTTAGCTGCGTTGGCCCCTCGTGGGGAAGAAGAGTGTGTTCCTTCATGCGGACGGTCTCCAAACATCTTTACCACCACCATCGCTGTCCTCCAGTCTGCCTACGTACTGTCCAGTGTCACTGCATACTTGGGTCAGGTGCATCTTAGTCCTCAAATTGGCATCTCAGCTCTTTGATACTTCAAAGAGGTCTTTTACAGCAGATATGCCCAACACAATATGGCCTTTGATATTCTTAACTGCAGCTTTCCAGCACGTTGATTGTGGATCCAAGTGGATGAAATCCGCGACAACTTCAATCTTTTCACCATTTATCATGCTGTTGTTTACTGGTCTCGTTGTGGGCATTTTTGTTCTCTTATATTGGGATCCTGGTGTAAGGAGAACCACTAGACTGGTAACGTAAAGGCCAATGGCTCAGACCTGACAACTGCTCCTCGGAAACCCTGTCCAGGGTTGCTGTGAGTCAGAAAAGACTAGTGGGCACTTAACCAGAATCCCAACACCTGTACTCTCTGGTACTCATCCATAAGAGCTTGAAAAGTCCCCTCAATTTCATACGTGAGGGTGTGCCATCTGTATGTCCCAGGCTGCAAATGAACCCTCCTCTAATCTGGAGGCCACGGTCCTCACCTTAGAGTCCAGCGCTTCCTTCCAGGGCACAGGAGAGCAATGCTGACACCGAAGTGTGCAATAGCAGGGAAAATGTCTGCAACGTGGTGGGAGTGACCACAATGGGACACGGAGACATGACGTGAGCACACGGCATTGGGAAAACGGCGCCAGCAGACCTGCCCGATATGGGGTTGCCAAACATCTTCACTAGACAAAAACCGCCATGCCCGCGTAGCGTGACAAACTGACACACAATAAAACCAGGTCTGCTCGAGTATGCCGCCACCTTGACTCGGCGCGGACTCAGTGGCAGTGAACAACTTACTTTCTTGAAGAAGGAAAAAGTCCAGTTTCGCAGGTCAGGGAGGAAGGCTTTACGACTTGGGCACCATGCAGAATGGGTAACAAAAACATGCTGATAACATCAGCCACGTTGGGAAGAGAAGCCTGCCCGTCCCAATGAACAAACCTTCCCAGCAAACCCAGAAGAGAACCTGGCCCGAGCTCAGAGTCAGGGGTCCAGGACAAGGGCACGGGAGAGTCTCTGGCATGACCAGGTGGCCCGCTGAGGGACCCCCTCCCACATCTCTCAGCTGAGCCCTCAGCTGAGCTCTGGACAGCTGAAGATGAATAGGTGACGGCAGTCAAGTGTAACAGCTCCTGGTCATTGTGCTTTCTCATTATCCTCTGCGTTTTCGATCACGGTGCTCCCTGCGGCTCCCACTGAAACTCACAGGAAGACAGTCTCCAGCTCTCAGATCGGATCGCGGGCCACCGGAGTCCCACCACACTCTGAGGGGCTCAGACCTCCCTCTCCGGAAAGTTCTGCAAGGAGGGCTTTTCAAGGTCTTGCTCTTAGAATTTCTCACACGAAGAAAAACCCTGACCACAGAGCCGCAGCATGACACACCTGTATCTCATTCACTCAGCCTTCACCGGGCTTAAGTAGGGACTTAGGGGCCCTGGTGGAGCAGTGGTTAAAGAACTTGGCTGGTCACCAAAAGGTTGGCAGTTTGAACCCATCAGTCACTCAGAAGGAGAAAGATGAGGCAAGCTTTCACAAAGATTTAGAAGGTTGGAAGCCAGTTCTAGGGTTGCTGGGAGTTGAACCCAACTCGATGGCCAAGGGTTTAGTGGGTTTTTGCATTGTTGAGTCCCACAACCCTAAAACTCCTTCAGTCAGTCAGTCAGTCCTGGGCAGACCAAGCCAGCTGGTCACCCATCCTTGGAGTGTCCATGAAACCACAGTGACTTTTTAATTTTAGTTGTGCATTCTTAACTTGTCACTTTCACTGTATTAAATACATGTTTTACTGCATGTATTCACAGCTCTTAGGAAAACTGAACTGGCCGTGGCCCCACTTAGTGGTTCTGCAGCAGACCTGACCATCACTTCCGTCAAGGCGGTGGCCGCAGAGATTCTAAGGGGCTGCTCTCCATGACAACGCGGGGTGGCTGACTCGATGGGACCCAGTAACCACATCACCCAGCAGTTTCTCTCGTGGGAGTGTGGCTTTCTTCCTCAGAACCTCAAACATCAGCTTCCGTTTGCTAAGAGTTGTTTTTAATTGTGGTAAGGAGATAAGCACTCCTGGTGTGGTGCTGGGGGGTCAGCACTGGCTTTCGTACCACAAAGTCGGCAGTTCAAATGCATCAGCAGCTCCTTGGACACCGTCCACAGGGTTACTATGAGTCAGAACCAACTTGACAGCACTTCACAACAAAGAGACATGAAAGCGAACTGTACCCTTCCAGAACCTTCCTCGGTACACTTTAGTGACACTGGACATTTGCTCTGGCTGTTGGCTGTTGGCCAAGGTACTCACTCTTCAAGGGGTCTTAGGTGGCTGCTTAATTTTCAAGACGCATACTGACTTACTGCTATCATCTTTGCTTTGTGGAAGTGTTCAAGGCTGTTGTTAGCGGCCGCTGAATTCATTCCAATTTCCGGCAGTCCCAAGTCTACAGAGGGGAACTGCTCCATAGGGGTTTTAAGGCTAGGACTTTTTAGAGGAAATCACTGGACTTCTGGGTGTGTTCGAACCTTTGAGCTTTTGGTTAGTAGTCAAGTGTTTAACTGTGTGTCACCCAGGGGTTTATCATTCTGCGTTCAACCACCAACCTTGTTAAGTGCCATCAAATTGGTTCCAAAGTGACCCTGTATAGGGTTTTCAGGAGGAGCTGGTGGATTTGAACCACAGACCAGTGCTGATCCTACAGTGCTACGCCATCAGCCTTATGTGTTCCCAAAGGTTTCCACTACCTGGTGGTGGTGTTGTTAAGTGCCGTCAGGTCGTTTCCAACCCATAGCGACACTGAATAGGGTTTCCGAGGAGTGGCTGGTGAGCTTGAACTGCTGACCTTGCAGTTCAAACCGACTTTGTAGTCCAGCGCATTAACCCACAGCGTCACACCAGAACCCCTGGAATAGACGTTAATGACCCATAGTAGCAAGGACTCCTCCTTTGTCCTCACCTCCTGCTGCCACACGTTGACTTGTTGTCACCAAGTCAGTTCTGACTCACAGTGACCCTGTAGGACAGAACAGACCTGCCTCCGGGCCACAATAGGGTTTCTGAGGCTGGCTGAGCTGTTGGTGGGCTACAATGGCTGACCGTTCAGTTAGTAGCTCCTAGCCCACCCCTGGTAATTCACAGAACAGTTCAGTCTCAATGCACTTGCCTACTTCCAACATTTCACATCAATGGGATGGTACGGTACCAGGTGATGCTTTCAATCTCATCCAACTTCCCAGGGAAAGAAACCCTTTTGTCAGAACAGAACTCCCTCAGCCCGTTTCTCAATGTCGACCCCAAAAGGAACGATCCAGAACAGAAACGTGGCTGACGGTGTGGCACGGCACATACGCATGGTCTGCAAGCTCCTGAGAAGTGGTTGTCGCGATTGAATTATGTCCCCCCAAAATTACGTTGTCAGTGAGGCTGGGCAGTGACTCTCCTTGGCAGTCCTGGAACGATGGACTCACCCTGCAGTAAAGTGACCCGCCAGCTGGTATAAGGAGACTGAGGAGTGATGCAACACCCTTACTCCAGGGGCCACAGCCTGTAAGGGAGTTCTCTGGGGTGTGACCTGTAAGGGGAGTCCTCTTGGGGTGTGACCTCTGTCTCCTTTCATAAAAGATAAAGCAGACAGTGAGCAGGGAGGAAGGCACCTTCTACTATCCAGGAAGAAGAGACAACAGGTCAACGAACACGCACAACCTGTGCAATTTAAAAAAGTATTTTAAATGTTCTAAAACTACGTTAAAACAGTGATACAAAAGAATGAATGGCTAATACCGTATCATCTACAAAAATTTAACAAATGCTGCCATGGAGTCAATTCCAACTCACAGCATGCCTGCAGGGCAGATCAGAACTGCTCCCGAGGGTTTGGGAGACAGCAAGTCATTATGAACAAAGATAGCCTCATCTTTCTCCCAAGGAGTAGCTGGTGGGTTTGAACCGCCAACCTCTTGGTTAGCAGCCCAACTTTAGATTTCTCTAAATCGAGACAGAGATGGTCTGTCTACAGTAAGACTCAGGAAATGTGTTGCTGTGGATCTTAAAAGAACCCGGTGTCTTCAGACCCTCATCAAGGCTGGCTCTGAGAATCATCTGTGTGTCTCTCCCCGGCGAATGATACTTATTCTGGTTCTGAATCCATCTCCTAGCAACTGCCATTCTACTGGATTTTATTTAAACAGCGCTGTTACTCTTGCCTTATAAACTGGCAAAAGCGTGAGTGCTGAATTGAACTTCCATTTCCTGTTTTGTGTCTTGGCTGCTCAGGGCTGCATCTTGGGTTCACGTGGAAGTGTGTTTGATTCTAGATTCCCAAATAAACTTGCTCCTTTCTCCTTTCTTGTTTACTACGCACTCCTGTCTGGACAGGGTAATCAGCAATGGTCCTTTACCTCTGGCTTGTACTGCTGGGCCATTGGGGGTGGTGGGGGAATGAGACACACACACACACTCACACACACGTGCGCGCGCGCGGTGTGGGGGGAGTGAAGAGCTTGGTTATGTATCTTAGAAGGTTTCAACACACAGGCGCGCGCACGCGCACACACACACACACATACACACACGGTGTGGGGGGAGTGAGGCTTCAACTTCAAACAGAGATAAGAGGCAGGGTTGCTGTTAGGCCCCCCTCTGCCCCCAGTGTTGGTGCCCAGTCTGCACTTGCTAATTGCTCCGAGGGGGCTGTACTCACATGTAAACTAGGGTGGTAGGTCAGCACTCCATTGTCGCACAGTGTGACGTATTTCTTCTTCCACTCTTTGTTTAGCGACTTGCCACTTCGCTTCAGCAGCATGCCCTACAAGGGAAAAGGAGACAATTATGAAGTGTGAACTGTTAATAAAAAAGAAAAAAAAAAGCTAAAGATTAGGATCACAGGTAAGTTTTGTCTATTTGCAGCTTTTTATTGTGAACCGAGGAAAGATTTACAGAGCAGATCATCAGTTTAACTTTCATCATCTCATGGAATTCATCTCATCCTGACGACTGCAAGGCCATCAGCAGAGCATCACTGGTCCCACAGCATCCCTGTGACTTCCTCTCAGTACAACATCACTGGTCCCCTGGCCTCCCTGTAACTTTTCCATTCCTCCTCCTTTCCTCACATTCTGCATTGGCATACTTTTGAAATTTTAAAACCCTCTGCTGATCTTTTCCACCCTAAAAAGGAAGTTACATTTTATTTTCAAACTAACATATCTTTTTCTTCTCTTGTGTGTGTATGTGTAGAATTTAACTTGTGATACTGGGAAATGCTAAAAAATGCGCCATTACTCCAACAAATACAATACAAAACGCTATGATGTGCCGCATCGGAACGTTTCCTATAACTAAGTTATAAGCACATCTCAGAACACCTGTAGGTATGATGTTTTAAAGAAAGACACCTAAATTTATCTTTCTAAAAGTAAGGTTGGTGGTTCAAATCCACCAGCTGCTCCTCAGAAACCCTACAGGATTGCTATGAGCCAGAACCAACTGGACGGCACTTAACAACAGAAACAACTTGAGTTTTAGTGTCTTACAACTAGTTCCATCTGCAAACTTCAGGGTTTTTGTTAAGTGCTTTCAAGTCAGTTCAGACTCATAACGACCCTGTATAGGGTTTTTGACTAGCAGCTGGTGAGTTTGAACTGCCAACTCTGTAGTTCAAACCAACCTCGTGGTCCAGTACATTATCCCACAGTGGCACGAATTGTGCGCAATTTCCTGTCATTCATGGTTAACGAAGGAGCTCTGGTAGCGTAGTGGTTACGAATTGGGCTGCAAACCGCAAGGTCAGCAGTTTGAAACTACCAGCTGTTCCATGGGAGAAAGATGAGGCTTTCTG